ACAAGGCTGTATATTAACTCCCTGCTTATTTAACTTATATGCAGAATACATCATGTGAAAGGCTGGACTGGAGGAATCCCAAACCGGAATTAAGATTGCTGGAAGAAATATCAACAACCTCAGATATTCAGATGATACCACTCTGATAGCAGAGAGTCAGGAGGACTTAAAGAACCTCTTAATGAGTGTAAAAGAGGAGGGTGCAAAAATGGTCTGAAGCTCAACATCAAAAAAACTATGATCATGACCTCTGGCCCCATCACCTCTTGGCAAATAGAAGGGGAAGATATGTAGGCAGTGACAGATTTTACTTTCCTGGGTTGCATGATCACTGCAGATGATGACAGCAGCCCTGAAATTAAAAGATGCCTGCTTCTTGGGAGGAAAGCAATGACAAACCTAGAACAGCATCTTAAAAAGCAGAGACATTACCTTGCCTTCCTCTTCAGACACTTGTATTTATTCTACGAGGAAAGATTGAACAAACTGGACATGTTTAGCCTTGAAAGAAGACTTTTCAAATACTTGAAAGCAGTCACACAAAAGAGGGGCAGGATCTGTTCTCAATCATCCCATGTTGCAGGACATGCAACAATGGGCTCAAATAAAAGGTAGCCAGATTTCAATTGAATATCGGGAAAAACTTCCTGTTTACAACAGTATGACAATGGAACCAGACTTCCGGCTTGACACTGTGATGAGACAGCAGGAGGAGGATGGAGTTCCATCCCCTGGGCTGAATTCTGACCTGTTTGGGACCCCCCAGGGGGTTAAAACCATCCCAAAGAGGTGGTGAAATGGGGGAGAAGCCTGTTGATCATGGGGGAATAGCGGTTATCCACGTTTGATCCAGGAAACTCCCCAATCAACTAGTGGGCAGAAACAAGCAGCTGAACTAACTTGCTTGCAAGTTGTCAGCAGCCAGCAATGGAGAAGCGATATATCAGCTAATTAATATTGTGTTACCACTGGGAGAGATATATTTTTAATTGTACTGCTTTATGACTATCACTGGATGAGACAGTCCCTACAACAGAAATACAGTGGTGCCTCGCTTAACGAGTGCACCGTATAACGACGAAATCGCACAGCAATTAGGGTTTTGCGATCGCAAATGCGATCGCATACCAATGGCCCCTATGCGCGAAACTCGCATAGCAAAGATCGGTACGCATTTCGCTTACCGATCTTTGCTTTGCGACGCCCGACGATCAGCTGTTCGGCGGCTCCAAAATGGCCGCCGGAAGCCCCGAAATGGCCATGCACAGCGTTTTCGCACCCTCCCCTCGCTTACGGAGGGCGCGAAAATGGCTGCCGGCTATGGAAAAACTTCGCTGAACGGTGAGTTTTGGAGCCTATTGGCTTTCCCTGTTCGGTACAGCGTTGTTTTCACATAGCAAGGGTTAATCCGGAACGGATTAACCTCGCTATGCGAGGCACCACTGTAGTGTCTTCTATCCCCCACCACTCATTGAGTGAATCTAGAGAGAGGAAAGAGAAGCAAAGAGAACCCAAGAAAATAAATTAGACATTGATTAGATATTTAATTATACTTCAAGGAAGGATGTTTATTATTACTTTGTCATTAGAAAGTTAAGAATCTTTCTCTTAAAACTATCATTAGCAACAACTCTGGGAAACTAAACGTGTTCATGCTACTTGTAACAGCCATCTAAAGTGCTGACAAAAAGCCTAGAATCAATGACCTTGAACACTTTATGGCTGTTTGGAATTCCCTTTCTTTTTGAGGACCGAACTGAAATACAGATAAATTAACCCTAGAAAGCCTTATCCAGCTAAACTGGAACTTTTAAACTGTATCCTGGGTTCTAAACTTGACTGGACCACAGGCTGAGACAGAATCAATACTGGAATGGATTGCCTCTGGGGCTGGATTACAAAAAGACATCAGGCCATGAACACAAACATCAAGTGAACTATTTGGTGAGCAAGTTACCTGGAGCCTTTAGGCGGGGAAAACCCTCTACGTCTGAGACTGGATTCAAGTTTAACCCTAAAGATGATCAATCTATTAAAGTGGACCTATGGAAGCATGTATTGATGGAATTGGACCGATCTAAGCTTCTAAACAACTTTCACTTGGAATAAAATTTATTGACATCTGGGACATAATGCCACAACAAGGACAATTTTGAAATGAAACAAAATCTACCCTTCAAGCAATTTTAGAAATAGTGAGATACCACAATGAGGACATGAAATTATTCAAGGAGCAGTTAAAGAAGAACTGACTATAGTCAACAGCAGACAGGGAATCATGAACAAGCAAATGAGAGGGTCATGGATGATGTATGCCAATCAAAGGAGGGGCTGGAGGAAATTAGAGGAGAAAACCTAGGAGATCTAATTCTAACCCTGAAACTGAGGAGAGATTTAGGTGTGCTAAGGGAAGATAAGGGGAGAGAACCAGAAGATCTAATTAAAAAGAGCTTGGAAAATCTATTGGAGATAGATCAAGTGTATAAAATGTTCTCAGGTGGCACAAGGTACTGCAGAGTTTTTAGAGAGAGAGAAAGAAGAATTGGGAAAAGGCAAATAAGAGAAGGAGTTACTTAGAAAGATGAAAAGGGAAAAATTTAAGGTGGCTTTCAACATTGAAAGTATGTATGTATCTAACTTGTAAGGGTGCATATCCTATATATTTAAAAAGCGAATGAAACTGAAATAAGGGATCACTAATCAAGGCAAAGGCATAACATGGTGGTTCATAAGGTAAATTGAAGCTAGATATAAGGATGAGGTAAAACAAATAGTACTTCATGAACATACATTAGATATGATATTGATATAGACATGATAGAAAATGTGGAGATAGAAATGGCTAAACAATTATATAAAGAAAATCAATATAGAATGCTTTAGATAACTGAATAGTTATATAATAACCTATTCAGTTACTATTGGTATAAAATACAAAATTTGTTGGCTAAATCACCTCAAAATTATATAGATTTGAAACTGGAATTACTTTTATTAGGTATGTTATTAGAGGATTTTGAGAACATTGTATACTATGAGAGCAATATTATGATAGTAGCCAATATTGTATACTAAAATACATACACAAATGGTTTAAATATTTTAAAAATGTATAGATTTTGAAGGGACAACTAAGAAGACACCAAGACAAAAAAAACAACAAATAATTATAAGCAACCCATGTAACATGTTGTTTAACCAGCATGAATTGAATGTAGACAGATTGAAGAAACTAATGAAATGTTTAAAATCACAATGGAACCAATTACCTTGGGAGGTATGAGCCCTGCAATGCTCACACCTCCCAATGGTCACACCTCCCAAGGCATTCAAGAGAAAACTGAGAAACCATCTATCAGATCTGCTTTGATTTGTATTCCTGCATTGAGCAGAGGGTTAGACTCAACGGCCTGATAGGCCCCTTCCAACTCAATTGTTTTATGATTCTATGATTTCCATGGGACGCCACAAGGAACAGAGCTAGTGTCTCTGTTCAGTGCATGCAGGCCTCATTTGCATTAAAAATTGATTGTATAGGGCTTTTTGATAATTCTGAATACAAAATGCATTTCAGGGAAGCACCTGGTGCTAGACATTGCAAGGATAACTCCAACTGCTATTATGTTACAATGGATGTTGTAATCAAGCACACAAGATAACACACACACACACACACACACACACACACACACACACACACACACACAAGCCTCATATTGATTGAGTTGTGAGATGTTTCTACCTCAAAGAGAATCTTAGCGGAGAGTTAAGATTAGCATTACTATTCATGATAGGGTTTCAAATACACTTCTTTTATTTCCTGATCCCAATGAAAATTTTACCTCTTCCCTGAATGAAGTCAACCTACTGGCAACCATAATACGTCACTTCTTGGCATATATTTTATTTTAATGTTTTATCCCAATCTATTGCATTGGCCGGACAAAAACAAAATGGCAAAACGAGACAGGTTTGTTGGGACTGTTGTTTCTCTCCACCGTAGTCCTTTTTAGTCCAAACAACAACAACTGTACACAATAAGTGGCTGAAATTTGAGGGAAATATTTACAGTTGTTCAGGTGATATTGTTGTAGAATGTAATCAAATATCATTACAGGGGACTAAAATGTCCCATCCTGGTCCATAAGGGCTGAGATAATTAATTTTCACTTTTTTAATATCCATCTCAATCCATCTATTATATCTATATCCCAGCAGATATACAGTAATTTGCCAAAGAAATTTGTCCCTTCATACTTATGATAAGGTGGACAGTGTTTACAAACAGAAGAAACAAAATAAAGTCATGCAACACAACCTCTAATGGTTAGGGTTTAAGTTAAGGACTTGTTATATTAAATAAATGTTTCATGCCAGTGCATACACTTCAGACATCACAATGGTACTACTTTCATAGTATCCTAGTAACAATCAAGGGGCTGCGTAAAGACTAGATAAAATTATTACTCCTTGTGGTGTCTACAGACGTATTTACCCCAAAACAAAACCATCTAATCATCTCACTTCTGCTAGGTCCAAAATATTCTCTTCAAACCAAACATTAGAATTTCCCAAATAACATCCAAAATATTGAAGAATTACAGCTCAGTTGAATCACAGGTGGTGGGCTGCTTCAAGATTTTCCTCAGATGGCATATTGACAGCTGTTCTTTTGAAGCTACTTAGAGTAAAAGTATTGATTTTTGAAATATATTTGTGGTGTAACAGAGTGAAGTGTTTTCAGGAATTAATATTTTACCTCCTATTTTCACTTCCTATTTTCACACTGAATATTTGCTGTTTTTTTGTGAATGGAAATAATATCTGAAAAGCACTTCTTTCTCATTTATTTGTTTCTGGAAACAAAAGAGATCTATATAAGAAATTTTCAAGCCTTATATCGGTGCTCTTTTCCAATTAGCTTCAAGACCGTTTTCATGGCTGGTATTAAGACCATAAGCAGTCTTCTAATGAAAGTGATAATTATTTCTAGTCATTACCTCTCATTTTCTCTTAGGATTTCTTTTCCTTTCTTCCAAGTAAATGCAGGCCTTGGGGAAGCTTTAGGCTTACACTCAATGGTTGCATCACCACCAACTTTAACAAGAGTCAACCTTTTCAAGAAGTTCTTGGAAAAATCTGGTCCAAGAGCTGAAAGACAACATGGGAAAGTGTAGAGTCAATGAGAACCATTGCAAAATTTAAAATAAAATCCACAAACTTCACACAACTAACTTTTATGGTGTTTCCCAATGATGCTGGCAGATATGCTACTTAAACAAACAAACAAACAAAACAACAGCTTGGATTTACATATGCTACTGGAAAGAATTTATGAGCAAATTGAAACCTTTATTTTTGCCATTTCCTTTATATGGTGCAACTGTCCATGCCCCTTTATGGGCTGGTGAGTTGGAATCAAATTCCTAAGAACAGGAATCAGATCCTGGAAAGTTCTGCTCCCACCCTCCTAGTTAGCTATAGCTGCAGTTTTTATAAAGTAGACCTCTCCTTTCTTGGCACTGGAAAGCCATTAAAATGGGAACTTTTTAGGTACCTTTAAAAAATAGCAGAATGCTACAGGTAACTGGTGTATGATATACAGTGCACCTAAATAGTGAGGAAACTGCCCTTTAACTATAAAAGTAATTAAAGCAGTTACAACTATATTGGAAAAGGAATTCAACAGCAAAAAAGGCATCTGTGTTAATCCATAGGAATAAAATGAAAATTAACCACAAAATAAGTAAAACTATTCATTATTCTGTAACTTAGTTTTCCCTTAGGCATCACAAAGAGGATTTAGCAAAAAGTGACTTATTGTTTATTGCTTAGCATTCCCTAGGTGATGTTTCATCTTGAACAACTAGATATTCAACATTACAGAATAAGTTATTTCCACCTCCCATACGTTCAAAGGAAACTTAGCCTTTGTAATGGCAAAGTGTGCTGAAAAATGAGCAGCTGATGAGCACACCTGCAAGGCCTAAAGAGACAGAAGGGAAATGCCACAAAGCCACAGTGGTGAATGAAAGATTGCCATAGCAAAACACTTCACAGTTTGGTGAGGGGCAAAACCACAATAAAATACAATACATTGTAGTGTTCTTGTTGTTGCTGTTGCTGTTGATAATGATGACAATTTAGATTGTAGTTTTAAAAAAACCTGGGGGAAAATTGAGATCAATTGTCCTTTCATCAGAGTCACTTGCTCATATTGCATGTAATCTGCTCAACTACCAGAAAATTGCTTGGTAGACCGGAAAACATATCATTGCAAATATGGGGATTATTATAAAACAACAATAATCAAGCCTCCCCCCCCCCGCCATCATTAAAAATTATCAGTAAGGGCCGGTGCTAGCATTATTAGAAGATACTCGTACTGCTCAGTTTGAAGTTGAATATATTATTGAACAATGTTCTAATTAAACATGCCAGCTAACGTCCTGTCGCAAGTCACAGCTACACTAAAACACTGAATCGGTCACTAAATGCTAAGTGAACCCTTTTGTAACTCCCACCACATCAACAGGCCTGCTCTAGCCACAGGACAGTTGCCACTGATTTTAATAATTTTTATGTCTGGTTGCAGAGAAATTCGTCAAGGAAGTTCCAGAGCATGGAAATGAGATGGTTGTGCGAAAAGAGGGATGAGTCTTAGTCCCACGTCTTCTACAAGGTATTCGCATGGATGAAAAGTCCTAGCAGACATTGAATGGCCTGTAAAGGAAGGGAAAATCTTGGGCGGATGCCCTTTTTTTCTACATGTGTCTGAGCCATTTTGATCAAATGATGTCAAGCAAGGCACACACATAAATTTCTGCACAATCCCAGGTTATAGGTGGGCAAAGCACCTATGACGAACTTTCATGCCGTGCAAGATTCCAGAGTCCAGACAAGAGCAAGAAGAAAAATTTTAAATTTTTTTCTCATCAGGGTCTGTATTGTTTGCAGAAACTTTGCAAAAACAGTGTGCTTTTCCTTTGAGATGAAAAGTATGTGTGTACATGTGCAAATGAGCAGAGACTAATAGTTTTTTTTAAAATAATGTAAACAATCCACTTGCTATTTATATTCCCTGAAAGTCCATGTAATAAAGTAGACGGTATCATTTTGCACAAGCTGCATTATTCATGTTAAGGAATTTAAACCATAAAGTCCCCCCCCCTTTTCTTCCTCTTTGAGAATAAAAAGCAGCTTTCCCTCTCAGAGGGAGGCAAAATAACTTTGCAGTTCCCTGTCCTCACATGCTAGGGTGTGACAAGGGAAGATTTGTTTTGATTAACACCATATGGCAAGCTAACCAGGGCTCAGGAATGAAACCTTGGTTTCTGGACAATGGTGGTATTTTGGAGACTCTCCAAAACTTGGAAACTTGTAGCGCTAGCACTGGTGGTGTTAGGAACCCTAGTGAACATGAACACATTCTCCAAAGATGATGTAATGAGTCATGTTGTCAAGAGTCGCAAGGTGGAATTTGTTTGAAATGGAGAGATGTGCAGCAATAGTTTGGAACAATGACTATGTGTTGCAATTGGGAGTACTGGTGGACACAGTAGTTAGGACCCTCATGGTGTTCCCGCCTCTCTGACTCCCTATCTCATTTGTTCCCTTTGACTAGACTGATAATCAGAAGGATGGTCTCTTTCTCTCACAATCTTTTAAAAATCTTTCTCAAAAGCACATGGTCACTTTGTTACTCCCAAGTTTTTTTTTTCTATTTGAAAGGGAGTTTCTCCATTAGAGTCTATTTTCCCATGATTATGAACAGTCTACTTTCCTTAGCCAGTCTTTACTGCTAAATCACATCCCACCATCACATCCCTGTATTAGAACTAATGTTGCAACAAGACTTTTTCCTGTGAGAATGAATACGTCCAGTTGTGAGACCAGTTCTTCAAGGAAAATTTCATTCCCATCCACTGACTATAAACTACTGTCTTAGTCTACCTTCTGCTGTCCCAAGAATCTAATTCGTTAGCATGGCGCCTGAGGGAACAACTAGTACTCTATTCCTAAGTCTCTGTTCTTCAAGGATGCCTGCAAAAAACCTTCAAGGCCTGCATCCATTTGCATCTTCTGTAGGTGTGGCAGGTGTAAATTCAATAGGATCTCATCCTGACCCGGGGGGGTGGGGAGGCAATGCCATATGACTTGAACAAAGTCTGTTCAAAGAAGGCATTGTGTTCAACATGTTAAAGGCATATTAGAAAGAACATCAGCTCTCTGACCGATATGAACCTGTGCTTTGTTAATGGTCAGCTTCCACTGAAGTTCTGGTTTACTAACACAATAGGCATAATAGACAAACGCCTATAGACAACCTCGTTGTTTTACTGAAGTATCTCACTGGGCAATATTCTATGTTGAAATATGCTTTCTTTTAGATTGTGGTGCAGGGGCATGAAGGCTGGAAAAATATTTTCTCTTTTTCCTCATCCTTTCTCACACATAGAAATGTACACAATGATAAGTCAAGAAAAAGAAGGAGGCAGTGTAGTCAGAAAGCTTTCTTCTCTAATAGTTAGCCAGCACAAAATTTCTACTGGTAATTTCAACGCAGTAGTGAACAAGACCTTGGGCACTGTTAGCCTTTCATTATAGCAATGCTGAAAGGACGGAATGTCTGCCACAGAGATAAAAATAGAATTGCCAGTGATATATCATTGATGAGAAAAATAAGGGGAAAAGATCATGGGGTGGGATGAAGTCTCTTCCAGAAATATTTCTAGAAGCAGGTGCAAAACAGGGCTGAATCCATTGGCATTTTCTTTTTGTATACTTTTAAAAATGGTAGTTTCTGTGAAGACTGCAATTGTGGCTCAGAGGTCAAACAAAGACTCAAGATGACAGATCAAATAATGACAGACAAGTATTTCCTCACAAAATGACTGCCCCTTTTCCTTCTTGTGAGCTATAAATCAATCTGGTGTGGAAAACGGCGGTATGCTTGCACCCCTCCATGTATATGCTTTGTTCTGGTTTTGTTGGTTTGTTGTATGGAGTTTCACTTTGTTTTATTGTTCATAAAGATGTTTACTTTTTAAATAGTAAATTGGTCCACCTCAAAACATGTTTTCCTTTTGACATGATAGAATGTATCCTTTACAGAAACATGTCAATCAAATATAATCAGAAACTCCCTGAGTTGCATTTTTAAGGTTCTTCTTTCAGTTTTCAAAAAGACAAGCTGCACAGAATGCAAAAGCAAGACAAAAAAAATCCCACCAAATACAAGTCTTTTAAAGGGCTACTGATTCTGTATTTGTTATTGCAGTGGAACCCTCCTCTTGATAAATAAAAGTTGTTCGAAGCGGTACAGTATTTGTCTCCTTTTATTTCTTTTTACTTTACAGATCTATTTAATTTCTGCTTTTTATGTATCTGTTCCACATGCAACATGAAGTAAGTGTAAGAAAGTAAGTGTCTTTTCAGGTTAGGTTTGAAGACTCAAAAGCTGCAGGGTTTGGATCATGGCAAGTTACTGTGATACTTGAGTTGTCTGTTGAATGTTTACAGATTTGTCACATGTCTCTCTCCACCCTGTAACTTTCTTCAGGCCTACTTCCTTAGTGATCACGTAGGGAAGAAATATTATGTGTTCCATTCATTCAGTAGATACACTTGTTTTGACAGAAATTACATCCAGTCTTATAGTCTTATATTCCTTCTTATAGCATGCAAATCTGGAAATACATAAGCCCTACTATATTATTACCCTTCCCACTACATGTTCTGTTACACATTCATGTCTAATACAAGTTGTGAATCCTGACTCAATTATTTGCTTATTTTTTATTTTATTTGTTTGTTTAACTTATATGCCACTCACACTACCCAAGGTCTCTGGGTGGCATGTTGTTGTTGTTTAGTTGTATCCGACTCTTCGTGACCCCATGGACCAGAGCACACCAGGCCTCCTGTCTTAGACTACCTCCCGGAGTTTGGTCAAATTCACATTGTTAGCTTGTATACCTCCCCCCCTTCATGGATTGCTGCCTTGTCGTGGCGAAGGGGCTTGAGTAATTCACAGAAACTATGGGCTATGCCGTGCAGGGACACCCAAGA